AAGTTTTGTAGAATTCAGAATTAAAGCCATCAGGACCTGGACTCGTCCTTGATGGGAGACTATTTGTTGGTGATTCAATCTCATATCTTGTTATGGGTCTGTTTCTATCTCTTCCTGTTTCAATATTGGTAACTTGGGGTCCAGAAATTTGTCCATCTCATCGAGGTTGTCTTGTTAGTTGGTACATAATCGCTCATAGTACTGTCTGATGATATTTTGTATGTCGGTTGTATCTGTTGTAATAATGCCTGTTTCCTTGCTGATTTGATTTATCTGGTTCCTTTCTCTGTTCTTCTTGATTAATCTAGCTAATGGTGTGTCAATTTTATCTTTTCAAAGAACCAGCTTTTGTTTTATTTATTTTCTGTGCAGTTCTTTTATTCTCTATTTCATTTATTTCTGTTTGAATCGTTATCATTTCTTTTATACTGGAATTTTTTTGGTGTTGTTTTTCCAGTTCTCTGAGTTGTATCATTAGGTTGTTTATTTGCCACCTTTTTGCTTTTTTCTTGTGTGCACTAATTGCTATGAATTTCCCTCTTAAGACTGCTTTTGCTGTGTCCCATATGTTATAAACTCTTGTTGTTCATTATCATTAGTTTCTAGTTTCTATTACTCTTTTTTTTGGCGGGGGGGGGGAGAGGTTTTCGCTATAGGGCGTGTGTGCTCGCCAGACCGACAGAGAGAGACAGAGAGACAGAAAGTGAGAAATCACCCCCCAGGGGGGATGGTCACGCTGCAATCCCTTCTCCTCCATTCTCCTCTCAGGATCTTGGGTACGCACGCACATGCGCCCGGCGTGAGTTTTAAGCCACTGGGTCTGGGACGCGAACCACGGTCAACTACGTGGGAGTCCAGCGACATAGCCATTACGCTAACTGCTGGTTCCCGTCTATGACTCTTTTGATTTCAGTCTTAATTTCTTCTATAGTCATGAAGTCATTTAAAAGTAGGTTGCTTAGTTTCCATGTGTTTGTGAACTTTCAAGGACTCTTTCTGTAGTTGATTTTAAGTTTGATTCCATCATGGTCAGAAAAGATGCTGGATATAGTTTCTACATCTCTGAATTTGTAATGGCTTGTTTTGTGCCCTATCATGTGGTCAATCTTCAAAAATGTTCCATGTGGGGGAACCAGCAGTTAGCGTAATGGTTATGTCGCTGGACTCCCACATAGTCGACCGCGGTTCATGTCCCGGACCCGGTGGCTTAAAACTCACGCTGGGCGCGTGTGTGTGCGTGCCCAAGATCCCGAGAGGAGAATGGAGGAGAAGGGATTGTGGCGTGACCATCCCCCCTGGGGGGTGATTTCTCGCTTTCTGTCTCTATGTCTCTCTCTGTCTGTCTGGCGAGCGCACGCGCCCTACAGTGAAAATCTCTCCAAAAAAAAAAATGTTCCATGTGGGGCTGAGAAAATGTGTACTTTGTGGTAGTTGGGTTAAATACTCTATAGATGTCTGTCAAGTCCATTTCATATATGCTATCATTTAGACCTTGTATCTCTTTATTTATTTTTTTGTCTAGATGATCTGTCCAGAGGAGTCAGTAGGGCATTGAGATCCCCTACAATTATTGTGGTTCTCCCTTGCTAACTAAGAGTCTCTCTTTGATGTATTTAGGTGTTCCAGTGTTGGGTGCATAAATATTTACAAGTGTTTTATCTTCTTGGTGAACAAGTCTTTCCAGTACTCTATAATGTCCTTCTTTGTCTCATCTTATATCTTTCATCTTAAAGTCTATTTTGTGTGATACCAGTTTCACTACTCTAATCTTTCTTCTGTTGTTGTTGTTGTTTCCATTTGCATGGAATATCTTTTTATAGCCCTTCACTTTCAGTCCTTAGTAGTGAGATGTTTTTCTTGTAAGAAACATATAGATGACTTCTATTTTTTTTTAAATCCATTCAGCCAGTCTGTGTCTTTTAATGGGAGAATTTAATCCATTAACATTTAATGTTATTATTGATATTTGTGGATTTATCCCTGTCATTTTGTTAGCTATTTTTCTCAGTTGTTTTCTTGTTCTCCTATTTCTGTTTGTGTCTCTTTAGTAATCCTGATACAACACTCCCCTCAGTACTTCCTGTAGTGCTGGTCTATTACTGGTGAATTCTTTCAGTTTTTGTTTGCCAATAATACTTTTATTTGTTCTTCCCATTTGAAGGATAATTTTTCTGGATATAGTATTCTTGGTTGAAATTGGTTTTCTCTTAATGTTTTGAATACATCTTCCCATTCCTTCATGGCCTGCATTGTTTCGGTTGAAAGGTTTGACATTAATCTAATGGGATAACCTTAACCTTTAGAGGTGACTTAATGTTTCTCCCTTGCCATCTTTAGAATATTGTCTTTGTCTTTAATTTTTGCCAATCTGGCTATAATGTGCTAGAGGGTGGGGATCTTTTTGTGCTGATTCTATTGGGGGTCCTTCTTGTTTCTTGGGTCTGAATTTCTCCATGTTTCTCTGTACTTGGGAAATTTTCAGATAATATTTCATGAGAGAGGTTTTTCATGCCTTTAGCATATTCTCCACCTTCTGGGATACTCATTATATGGCTATTTGGGTGTTTCATGGTGTCTAGAATTTCCTGTATGCTATCCTCATTTTTTCTGTTGTTTTTTCTTTCATTTTGGTGATTTAGTCAATGTTGGAGATTTTGTCTTCTAGGTCAGGAATTCTTTCTTCTGCACAGTCCAATCTGCTGTTAATGCTTTCTTGGAAGATTTTAATTCCTTGTATTGTATTCGTCACTTCCAGAAGTTCTGTCTGATTCTTTTTTGGGTGTCTATTTCTTTATGAAATTCCTCTTTCATATCCTGAAATAATTTTCTCATTTTCTGGAACTGATTGTCCATTTGCTCTTGCATCTCATTGAATTTTCTCACTATAAATATTCAGAATTATTTTTCTGACATTTCTCTGATATTTCTCTGTGCTGTCCATTGTTGATTAGGGGTTACTACCCTCATCTGGAGAAGAGCTACCACCTTGTTTTTTCATGTGTCTTTGGTATCTGTACTGGTTTCTAGTCATCTGATGTGATAATAACTTTTTTCTATTTATTGGAGTAGATTCCATAGTGCTGGTAGAGAAAATTTCAGCCTTAGTTCCCAGGTGTGTTCCTATTGGAGAGTTCTATCTCCTAGGTCAGCTCAGTTACGGGTAACTTCGGCTGTTTGGCTCCTCTACCAAACATTCAGTCTTTGATTAGGTGGTAGCAAGCTAAGGAGATAGAACTTGGTAAAGAGGATTAAGTAGCATGTTGCACTCACGCAGCATGCAGGTTGGTGTACCAAAAGTTCCAACGTCGTTTCCAGGCCCCAAGCACTGACTTACCCTTAAAGCGTGCCCAGACTGGGCTCAGGAGTCCTGGTGGGCAGGCAAGGTAAGGCCAGGCTGCTGCAATGGTGGGCGATGGAGTCCAAAAGTTTCAGAGTTGTTCCAAGGCCCCAAGCACAGACTCACCCTAAAGCCTGACCTGATCAGGGTCAAGACCTGGCATACAGATGGGGTGAAGCCAAGCCTCTGGAATGGTGGGCAACAGAGTCCAAAAGTTTCAGAGTTGTAACCAGGCCTTGAGTGCAGACTCACCCTAAAGCCTGCCCAAAGTGGACTCATGACTCCTGGTGGGGGGAACCAGTAGTTAGCATTATGGCTATGTCGCTGGACTCCCACATAGTCGACCGCGGTTCGCATCCCAGACCCGGTGGCTTAAAATTCACGCTGGGCGCATGTGCGTGTGTGCCCAAGATCCCGAGAGGAGAATGGAGGAGAAGGGATTGCGGCGTGACCATCCCCCCTGGGGGGTGATTTCTTGCTTTCTGTCTCTATGTCTCTCTCTGTCTGTCTGGCGAGTGCATGTGCCCTATAGTGAAAACCTCTCCAAAAAAAAAAAAAGAAAGAAAGAAAGACTCCTGGTGGTGGACAGGGAGACTCCAGGCATCTGGAATGGTGGAGATGGAATTCAGAAGTTTGAGTCATACCCAGGTCCTGAGCGCAGATTCACCCTAAAGCCTGTCCAGACCAGGCTCAAGACGCTTGGCCCAATATATGAATTTTTAAAAATAATTTATTTATTTATTTTACGTTCAATCACTGCGTATCATTACAGCATACCAAATCAATTTTCCCATAATGAATATGCTGTATATTGGATCAGTCAAAGATATTACTATGCATATTATCAACAGATAATTTTCTATTTTTGTAATTCATTGCATCAATTGTCTAAAGAAAAACATGATCATCTTAATAGATTCAGAAAAAGCACTTGGTAATGTATAACATCACTTCATGTACAGATTCTCAGAATACTAGGAATAGAAGGAAGGAACTTACTCAACTTGATAAAGAATGCCACAGAAAAACTACAGCTAACATCATGCTTAAGGGTCAAGAACTAGATAATCTCCCCTTCATATTAAGAACAAAATAAGGATAACTCTTCTCATTATTTCAGTTTGACATTATACTGTAAGTTCTAGTTAATGGAATAAGACAAGAAAATACAATAAAGAATTGTTCCATAGGGGATGCTTTCTCTCTCTCTCTCTCTCTCTCTTCTCCCAGCAAGCCACACACACCCTCTGGCAAAAAAAATTTTTTAAAGCAATTAGATAACACTTAAGACTCTGACTTCAGGAACTCCCATCTCTTACATACATAGATGAGCTCTGAAATAAGCCCACCCAGCATAGCTATAAAATCTTACTTCATACAGAAAACAAGAAATGGAAAATTATTTGCTGACAATAACATGTTTGTTGATGTGCTTGATTGAGACAATATACAGTGTACTCTGGATGGAAAATCTCATTTTGTATGCTGTAATGATGAACAGTGAATGAATGCAAATAAATAAATTGAAATTGAAAAAAAAAAAAAGAGACCAACAACAACAAAAAATCTTATGTCACTTTTGTAAAGGGCTGGCATGGTTTACCTATTTTGGTAGGGTTTGAAACACGTGATCGAAATGAAAACTAGCAAAGTACTAAGTTACCTTTTTCTGGGAAGATGTTGTTTTTGGTAAGTTTGACGCTTTTGGGCCTAGGGTACTTATCATCCATGCCTGTGATCAAGTTGCGAAAAAACAGATCAAATTTCTTTCTGCTGTCTGCATTGATGGTGCCAGCCACAGTCCACACCAAGGAAAAGAGAAATAGTCCTTGCAGCCAGAGGAAGATCTGCTGACTTGACAGGCCTTCATATAATTCTGTTTCCTCATTTTCTGCTTGCTTAATTTCATCTAAAAGTGAAAAAACAAATAAACAAAAACACCTCAGGACAAGGTGCACAGATATAAAAAAAAAAATGTGAACTGGCTAGTTTTACTTATGAAGAACCTGGAGAGGTGACTGATACTGCATGAAACCAATAACCCACCAGATCCTTCATCAAATGCATTTTTTACTGTGGTAAAATACACATGACATAAAATCGACATTGTTCTAGTTCATTCCGTTGCTAATAACAGAAATTTCTGAGTCTGGGTAATTAATCAAAATAAAGGGCTTATTCAGCTCACAGTTTGGAAGTCCAAGTTGGGAGTGGGGGCAGGGCTGTAGCAGGTAGATAACAGTGGAGGGGAAGAGCTTGAGCAGAGCAAGCTGTCTGTCTCATCTCCTCTCCTTATAAACCCATCAGCCACCCCATGCCTAATCGCGTCCCAAAGTGATTTGACACCATACTCAGATTAAGTTTTTACCCTCTTAATTCTGTTACAATAGCTCACCAAATTTTGACATAGTCAAAACTTCAGGAACTCTGAAGTTGGGGGACATAGTCAAACCATAGCACTATCTTAACAATTTTTTTAAGTGTACAATTCTGTAGTATTAAGTACATTAATATTGTTATATGACTATCACCACTATCCATATCAGAACTCTTTTCATCTTGCAGAACTGAAGCTCTGTACCCATTTAACAATCATCTTTCCCTTCCGATCTTCCCTCCACCTTTTCTGTAACCAGAACTCTATTTTCAGTCTCTATAAATTTGACTAATCTAGGTACATCATAGAAGTAGAACCATATAGTCATTTTGTGACTGGCTTATTTCAGTTAGCATAATGTTTTCAGGGTTGATCTATGTCAGAATTTCTTTCCTTTTTCAGGTTCAATAAAATTCCATTGTATGACTACATCACATTTTAAAAAATGATTTATTTTACATTCATTCACTGAGCATCATCACAGCATACAAAATGCGATTTCAAATCCATTCATCCATTGATGGAAATTTAGATGTCCTATTGTGAATAAAGATGCTATGAACATGTGTATACAAATATCTGTTTGAGTTCCTACTTCAAATTCTTCTAGGTATACACCCAGAAGTGAAATTGTCAAATCATATATTAAGTCTATGGTTACTTTTTTGAAGAACAACCAAACCATTTTCCACAGCAACTGTACCATTTTACATTCCCACCAACAGTACACCAGAGTTCTAATTTTTCAACATCTTCACCAACACTTACTATTTACTTTTTTTTTAATTGTAGCCATCCTAATAGGTTTGAGGTGGTATCTCCCTGTGGTTTTGATTTGCATTTACCTAACAATTAGGGGTGATGACTTTTTTTTTTTTTAATGTGCTTATTGGCTATTTGTATATCTTCTTTGGAGAAATGTCTATTCAAATCCTTTACCCTTTTTTTGAATTATTTATTTAATTTTATTTACCATTATTATCATTTTTTTTTTAAGAGAGATTTTCGCTATAGGGTGCATGTGTTCACCAGAGAGAAAGAAAGCAAAAAATCATTCCCTGGGGAGATGGCCATGCCACAATCCCTTCTCCTCCCTTCTCCTCTCAGAATTTTGGGCATGCACACACATGTGCCCAGTGTGAGTTTTAAGTCATTGAGTCCAAGACTTGAACAGCAGTCAACCAAGTGGGATTCCCGCAACGTAACCGTTATGCCATCTGTTGGTCCCACGTTTTAAACATTTGCTACAAGGCATGTGTGGTCACCAGAAAGAGAGAGAGAAAGAGGGAAAGTGAGAAAGCAAGCCACCAGGCCTGGGTCTCAAACTGCAGTTGGCTAAGTGAAAGTCTAGCACCTTATCCACGAGGCCATTTTTAAATTAAATCATTATACCTTTTTCTTTTTAATTTGCTAGAGTATGTTCACTTGCTGGAGTGAGACAGAGGTGAGATGGAAAGCGAAAAAGTAACACCCCCATAGGGTATAGTGACACTACAACCCTTTCTCCTCCATCTCCCCTTCCTTTCAGGATTTTGAACATGCACACACACATGCCTGACATGTTTCTCAAGCCACCAAGTCTGGGTCCTGAACCATGCAGTCAGCTTTGTGGAATCCAGTCACCTTAACCATCATACCACTGGCTGGCCCTGTTTGTGATGTGTTGTTGAATTTTAGAGGATCTCTGTATATTCTGGTTATTAATCCTTTATCAGATATACAATTTGCAATTTTTTCTTATTCTGTGTGTTTTTTAGTTTTCTTGTGTATAGTGTCTTTTGATGCACAAAAGTTTTAAATTTTGATGAAGTTTAATTTATTTACTATTTTTCTTTTCTTACCTGTGCCTTTGGTAGCATATTCAAGAGATCATTGCCAAATTCAATCTTTTGCCCTATTTTTTCTTCTAAAAGTTTTATAGTTTTACCTCTTAAGTTTAGATCGTTCATCCATTTTGAATAATTTTTGTATATGGTCAGGCAAGAGTGAAATCAGAAATGCCATACTTCGAGAACACCTTGGAAGGATGAACTCTGAATGAATGACTAGGAAAAATTGGCGAAAACACCTAACTTCTTGCCTTCCTGCTCAAAAATGACAGGGGCTGATTAGCTTGAATGCATGGTTAGGGAAAATGGCAAAAATATCTAACTCTTGCCTTCCTACTTGAAAACAACAGGTTATTAGATGGGTGTACTATCCAACCTCTGATGTCATTTAGTCATACCCTCCTTACTGAAACCACCCTGTTCTAGAAATTACTCTTATCTTTCTAATCCTCTAAGAAGCAACTTCCTTTAAAATTAACTTTCCTTCCTCTTTTGCCCAGATAAATATGGAAGATGAGAAAGGCTTAATGGGCACATTCCTGGTATAGCCTCTTCTCCCTCTTGACTTAAATCTCTGTGTCTTGAGTAGGACTTCTGTGTACACTTCAGGTGACTGTTGGACAGAAGAGCCACACTCTTTTGATTGTGGATATCCAACTTTTTCAGTACTATTTGTTGAAAATACTATCCTTCTCCATTAAGTGGTCTTGGCAGCCTTGTCGAAAACAATTGGACCATGTATGTGAGTACTTCTTTCTGTGCTATTTTAATGCACTAGTTTTATGTTAGTATGCCAGGGCCATTCTGTTTTGATCATTATAGCTCTGTAATAAGTTCTGAAGTCAGAATGTCTAAGACTTCCAGGTTTGTTATTCATTTTCAAGATTATTTGTGCTACTTGGGGTTCCTTGAGATTCCATATAAAAATGAGTTTTTCTTTTTAAATGTAAGAATATTTTTTTCTAAGATACATTTACATTTATCATCTAAATTCATCTCCCTTCAGGATGTCCTGTGAGGTAAAGGAACAGGAATTATTATTACTATTATGTGGATGAGGAACATTAGACTGAGGAAGGATGGGGTAATTTGCACAAGAATACCCTTAAAAAAATCAATGTCAGCTCAAAACTAAATATATGGACCCTTGTTATTTACAATTAAGACTCGCTTATTCTAGACCAAATAGTTGGTCCCACTGTAACTCAAGGGGAGAAACAGAGGGATGGTAGTGCAGGGAACACCTAACACCATTTATCTTAAGAAGCATGGATAGCACTTACCCAAAAGAGAGGAGTAAAGTCTCATCATTGAAAAGGCAAGGTGGATAGGTGACGTTTGGACCACAAATTTACAGTGAAGGCGACCAAATTCCAGACAGGGCTGAACAAGCCACATGAACATGTCATTGACCTGAGAGGAAAAAGCTAAGTGAGATGTGGCGACATTATCAAAAAACAAGTTAAAAGCCAATGTCTTGGTCCACTTCAGGAGACTGGAGAAGCTGGTAAGATTACACGAAATAGTTTTAGAACCCAGCTACTATATCTGACTTTGTGTAAAAACTATTAGGTACCCTAAACAACTGATTTACAAATGACTTGGACATTTGTAAGGTGGGGCTTCTGTATAAAGAGGCTATAAGGAAGTACTGAGCTAAGTCCGGGATTTGTTTTCAAGAATTCACCACATGGACATATGTCTCTATGCATGTATTTACTTTGGGGTACAATGATTCTTATCTCTTGTTTCTCTTCTCCACCCTATTTACTCTTTTAAAGATTATTTGACAAGTGTCATGGTGATTAAAATCCTCGACTCCCACATGGCCAACTGTGGTTTGAGTCCCAGACCTGGCACCTTAAAAATCATGCTGAGAGCAAGTGTGTGCCCCAAATTCCAGGAGGATAATGAAGAAGAAGGGACTGCAGTGTGGTCACCCCCTGGGGAGCGGTTTCTCACTTTCTCTCTCACTATCTCTCTCTCTCCTGTGAACACACATGCCTTATGGGGGAAAAAAAATTACTTGACTCACATTTTTTTCTATTTTTGTGTTTTGTATTTTTTTTACTTTTGTATATATATATATATACAGATAGATATAGATATATAGTGTGTGTATGTGTATATAAATATATATACACATATATACACATTTATATGTAAATAAGAATATTCTTCCATACATATATGATATAGTTATTCAGTCAACATTTACTGGGAATGAACTCATTCCCAATGAGTTGGTGCTGAGTATAAATAATGTATAAGATAGACCAGGCTCCTTCACTTATGGAGTTTACAGTCTGAGGACAAGGAAGACAAACAATAAATAACTAAATAAGCAGGGAAGTAATTAAAATACTTACAGGTCATGTAAAGTACTAGCAGAAAACAAGTTATGGTGGTACAATGGGGAATAATAGGAAGAGTTTAAATAGAGTGGTCAGAGAAGACTTCTTGGAGGAGATCTTTATGGTGAGACTTGGATGACAAGGGTAGCTACCCATGAGATAAACTGAGGACATTTTTTCCCAGAGAGAAATAAGACGAGCAATGCCTTGAGGTGTCAAAACCTAGGGTTTTCTAGGAATGCAAACAAAACAAGATGGTTGGAGAGTGAGTGAGGCTGAGAAAGAGACTACACGGTAAGTTCGCAGAGGCACGAAAGGAAAGATTGCATCATCTCATTGAGCCCTGATAAGGAGTTACTTTGTGCCAAGGACATTGGGTAGACCCTGAAGGACTTAACATGCATTGAGGACTGTCAGCTTTCAGTGTGTTTGTATAGACTGGTCCCTGAATGTACATGCAGAAATGTACTTGCATAAATGCATATAAATTGTGACAGACATTGGGTCAACAAACATAATCCTCCAGAATGTGTCCCTAGTGGAAAGAGAGCTCATTCAGACCATTTTTGGTTTGTCAGTGAGAGATATTCCCAAGGAACTCTATTATTGCAGGGAAGGGCAAGAGGCACTACAAACATAGGTTCCCCCTTCCTGCTTCTCTAGTCTGAGAGTGGTTAGGTACCTGCCTACTCTGAACTTTCCCCCTTCTTCTAGGAAGAGAAGAAAGGAACACTCTCTCTTTCTAATTGCAATGAAAACACTTCTATTTATTTATTTATTTATTTATTTATTTTCATTTTGCCTATGGGTATGGGTGTTTGCCAGAGAGAAGAAAGAGAACAAGAGAGAGAGAAAGAAAGAAAGAACCCCCAGTCTCAGAACTCTGGGCATATATGCATATACAGGTGTCCAGTGTGTTTTTCAAGCTATTGGGCTGGGATTCATGCCGTGGTTGGCCATGTGGTATCTGGCTCCCTATGTACAAGGCTTAAGTGCTACACCAAATGAAAGAATTTCTAACTGTTTCCATCTCCCTAGCAGTCAGAGGTATGGAGTCCAGACTACAGAGATGGAGGAGAGCAGCATAAAGAGGAATATCTCTTGCTCATGCAATCCATCTCTAGAACAACTTCTAAAGACATTTCTGTTAGTAGGGCAAGGGGAGGAGGGATAGTCTTCCAGGAACCATTAAGAATGTTCCTCAAAACTGGAATCTACTGGAGAGTTGAGGATGACAGAGAGGGTGGAGAGAAAGGAAAAATCGATTACACCTCCATTCCCCACCACATGAAGAAGTTGAAAAAGTGGCAGGCAACCAAGGTAAGTAAGAATAGGAAGGGAATTATCTGCTCCTTTTTGCCTCTTGGAACCATGAAGATGAAGATGTCTTTAGAAGGCCCTTGAGATAAGAGGTTGGAAGACAGGAAGAGGGGAAAGACAGGGGCTCACAGGTCTCACCAATTCCTTGTGCTCCTCAGTGAGGCTAGATGGTAGGGTCTCCATGTACGAATCCTTCAGGGGCTTCCAGCCTAGCTGATGAGGCTCCATGTAGATCATCCCACACCTGGAAGCACAAATAGGATCTTCCAGGTAGGTGCTCTTTCATTTGTTAGAAATACTGGCTAACACTTTATAACATCATGACTTTCCTGACAACCCAGTACTTTTTGAACTCATTCCTATTAATGGATATTTTCGTCTGTTTCCAAGTGGTTTTTATTTTGAGATGTGCCACTGTATACATTTTCGTATTTCTCTTGTACATGGGCGAACATTTCTTTCTTTCTTTTCAATTTGCTATAGGACATGTACACTCGCTGAAGAAAGAGAGAATGAGAAGCACCCTTTCTCCCCTATGGGAGGTATGACCACGCTGCAATTCCTTCTCCTCTGTTCTCCTCTCAAGATGTTGAGGAAGCACAGACACCCAGTGTGCACTGTATTTTTTGAGAAATTTTTGCTACAGGGCATGTGTGCTTGCCAGAGAGACAGAGAGAGAAAAATCACCCCCCGGGGGGATGGCCATGCCACAGTCCCTTCTCCATTCTCCTCTTGGGATTTTGGGCATGCATACACGCACACATGCACACACACACACACACACACACATATGCCTGCAATAAATTTTAAGCTGCTGGGTCCAGTACTCAAACTGCAGTTGACCACATGGGAGACCAGCAATGAAACCATTATGCCATCTGCTGGTCCTCCAGTGTGTTTTTTCAAACTGCTGGATCCAGGTCTTGAACTGTGGCTGGTCATGTGGGAGCCAGTTACCCTAACCACTGTGCCACCTAGCTGACCGAAGCAAAAAAATATATTGAGACTTAGAAACAGAATTACTGGGTCATAAGCAAATGAAATTGCTATTTTATATGGTAACTCTTTTCCCTTGCACAATTTTAGACTCCTATCAGCAGTGTAAATGGAGGACTGACTTTACAACAAATATAAGTAAATAATAATATAGGTGTCCTTCTAGGGCTTAATCACATTCGTGATTTTTTTTGAGCTTTCCCTCCTACACAGGGTTAACAGGGTCACGTCTTCCCTTAGGGTGCATGTGAAAACTGACTGACCTGCTCACGGTGGCTGGAGAGGCCTGTTCAAGGTCCGCTGGCTCAAAAATCAGACTCATCTTGGGGCTCATCTGAATAATCTCTCCACTCATTAAACATAGCTAAAAGTGCAAAGCAGAGGGGTGGAGGGCAAGCAAAGGTTAAATGCCGTCTGCAAGTGAAAGGTCTCGTGGAGACAAAGCTAGTTTAAATTCATTCTACAGGTATTTCTTGAGCACCTACTATGTGCCAGGCAATATTCTAGGTGCACAGAATGAAACAGATAAAAATTCCTGTCTTCTCGTAGTTTACATCCTGCTGAGAGGAGACAGATGGTAAGCAGAATATATAAGCAAGATATATAAAATGGCAAAAAGAGCTCCTATGAAAATTAATGAAGCGGGGGTTGGAGAATGCTCAGTCATGGTTGAATGAGTTGTAATTTTAAACAGAGAAGTCAGGAAATCACTGAATTGCAACCTAAGATGAAGAATTGAGAAGTTATCGAACCATACCAAATTTCATGGTTTTTGGTATTTAACGTTGTGCTTAACGGCACATCTCCATCCCATTTTAGTGTAATGTTTCTCACAAAAGACTTTTTTTTGAACCCTTACATGTTTTAACCCATGGCTGGAGTGACAAGAACCTCCCCACTAATCATTTTTGGAATGGAATTAAAAAAAACCTGAAGTCCTCGTGTTCAGCAAAAAGTAGTGCAAATATGAGGGAACATCAATCAGTTCATGAAAATACGAAATTAAAGTATGAATTTATTTGGGTGCAAACATTTTGGAAAATTATACATAGTTTGTTCATAATGTATATTTTCCATGAACATCTTGAAGACCCTCTCGACATAGGAGAACCTTGGAATATACACTTAGTAAGTGGTACTGCTTCCCATTTGCCAACTTGGGTTCAAGTGAGACGTTAAAATAATGGGACAAAGCCTGAGGCCTTAGTCTCCCAGGGGAGAAGAAACACCAGCAATCCCTGCTGCTCACTCTAAGTTTCTGTTAAAAAGTTTCCTGTACAACACCCAGCCCACATGAAACACATCTTGAAGCAGGTCACTGTATGCATCCCCATGAGGGTCACAGTTGTTTTGAGGCAGATACCATGTACCGTATTATATCTGAATATTAAGAAAAGTGAAACAGACCCACTCCCAGGCCTGTAGTTTGATTTACACCCAGAGCCAAGAAAAATCAGTAGAAAATTCCCTGAGTCTCTTTATACTTGCCATCTCAAGATCAACTGATTCATTTGTGTAATTAGTTTGTATGATGTAGTCCATATCATGTAATAAAACTTATTTCTATTTTTATGTGTTATATAATTACAATTATGCAGATGCTATAATTAGTTATGTGTATAATTTGGATAATTAGGCCTTCCATTATTGAGCATGACTCACTCTTAGGCTTGTGACATTTAAACACAGAAAATATTCTTTGATTTGATAATGACAAATATTCACTGTAAGAACCCTTCCTTGAAATGGTGATGAATTTTATCTTATTCTAACAAATAGTTATATGGCACTAGCTATAGGCCAGGCATTATTGTAAGCAGTTTGCAAATATTAACTTACCTAATCTTTCTAACACTACAGATTAGACATTATTATCCCATTTTACAGATGATGAAATTGAGGAATCAAGAGACTAATTTTTATTTTATTTTATTTTAGATTTTTCCTATAGGGTGTGAGCACTTGCTGGAGAAACAGAGAGAAACAGAAAGTGAGAAATCACCTCTGAAAGGGGATGTCCATGCCGCAATCCCTTCTCCATTCTCCTCTCAGGATTCTGGGCACTCATGCACATGTGCCCGGCATGAGGTTTAAGTCGCCAGGTACAGGACTTGTATTACAGTTGACTACGTGGGAGTCCAGCAACATAACCATTATGCCATCTGCTGGTCCTGAGACTAAATATTAATAGTGTCTCTGAGGTTACACAACTTGTAAATATCAAAGCCAGGACTTGAATCCAGACTGCCTAGCTCTGGAGTCCCAGTTCTTGAGCTACTGTATTTCCTGCAGTAGAAATTATTTTCTAAAGACTCTGCAAAAATACCTCCTGTCCCATAAGCACTTCCACAATGTGATTTTGTCCACTTCCATCAAGAGGTAGAGTCTATTTCTCTGCTCTCTTAAATCTGATTGGGCTCTGTGACTTCTTTGACTAAGAGAATGCAGAGAAAGTGATGCTGTGTCACTTCTAAGACTAGCCCTTAATTTCTTGGAAAATTTCACTTCCTGATGCTTGGAAGTCACCCACCACATAAGTTATCACATCCTAGAGGCTACAAAGCAATAAGCCCAAGCCAAGTGGAGTAGCCTGGAAGATGAAGTGATATTTAAAGAGAGTGACTGAAGATGGACCAGCCCATGGCATTGTGGTTAAGGATCCCAAATGACTGACTGCAATTCAATCCTGGCAGTTTGAAAAATATGCCTGGTACATGTGCATAAGTGCCCAAAATCCCAGGAGGAAAAGGGATTGTGGTGTGGCCATCTCTCTGGGGGGGCAGTGATTTTTCTATTTTCATCTTTATCTTTCTGTTTCTCTCTAGTGAGCACATGTGCCCTGTAGGAAAAAAAAAAAAATAAGGGCGACTGTGGGGCAAAAGTAATGAGGCCCGACATCCAGTGAACAAGCCATCTTGGATGTGAATCCTCCAGTTTCAGATGCTGATCCACTACCCACCGGAACTCTTTCAAAATTCCTACCCAACAAAATCATGAGAAAAATAAATGACTGTTTTAAACCATTAAAATACTATGTATGTACTATCTCATTTACTTATCAACAACCCTACTTTATTATGCTTTCTAAAATAAGGGAACTGAGGTTCAGAGAAGTTGTGTAACTTATCCAATACAATACAGCCTAGTGATGGAGCTAGGAGCCCAATCTGATGCCAATGTCAAGACTTTCAACCATTTCACAACATTGTCTCTAAACATATTTAACTTACTGACTACTTGTACGAACAGAAGCATAATTATGAACTGGTAACTATTATTTTTCTGAGGCATTTCTTTTTAGTTTAATAAATGCATATCTTTTTTTCTTAAAATTTTTAATTTATTTTTAGTTTTTAATTTTATATCAATTCACTGTACATTATTGCAGCATACAAAATTAATTTTCCCATTCAGAATACACTGTATTTTAGATAGTTTCAATCGGTCACTCACTTCAATAAAAAAGTTTATACCTCACCCATGTAAAAGTGGTATTGGATTCAATCACTACCTTTTTATTGTCATCCAGAACAGTGTTCATATTTTCAATCCAAACAGCATCCACTGGCCCATCAAATATAATCCACTTGCGGTCATCAGATACTGAAGATGCTTGCTCCCGGAAAGCATTGGCAAGGACACCATCTGTCCATTCATGGCTCACTACGTCAAAGCACCCATATAGCTGCCCCATTGTAATAGCCTTGGGGTTGATGATCTTGTACTCCACGGCAAACTCCTCCATCTGGCTGGCTGGACAAGAAGGTCCAACACTCGTTACAAAGGTTCTGATGAGACCAGAATGTTAAGCGAGAGAAAATGCTGTCTCAAAGACCAACCAACTAGCATGACTATGTTATCCAAGGAGAGTCCTTATATAGTGTGTGCTCAGTCCTTACTAAGATTGGTTATTTAGAAGGACAATACCCTAAATTTTGGGGTTATAAAATAATTTCTCATCGTACTTTCTTCTGACCCTTAGTTCAAACATGGCAACTGAAATCTGACTGGGCCTAAAAGAATGCAGGTACAGAAGGAGAGAGATGCCATAGTGCCTGCCTTTTTTATGTACCTGGCCCCTCGAAGAACCCTGGCTTTGGCTTGAGATAAGGAAGTAGGTGACAGGTAAAAGATTCTGGAGAGTAATAGTTAAGTTTCTTTATCTGAAGGTCTAGTTAAATCCTGAAACCTCTTTCTCAACTGCTAAATGTCATTTGTCCCTGAGAAATACACACTATTAGAATACCAAAACTCAGAACCAGCAATTGGCATAATGGCTGTGTCACTGAACTCCCATGTAGTCAACTGCAGTTCGAGTACTGGACCTGGTGGCTTAAACTCACACTGAGCGTGTGTGCATGCATGCCCAAGATCCCGAGAGGAGAATGGAAGAGAAGGGATTGCGGCATGGATGTCCTCCCTGGGGGGTGATTTCTCACTTTCTGTCTTTCTGTCTGTCTCTGTCTTTCTTGTGAACACATGCGCCCTATAGCAAAAACCTCTCCAAAGCAAAGGAAGGAAGGAAGGAAGGAAAAAAGAAAATCAAAACTCAACTGGAATATATAGGCCGATAGATGACACAGCTTATGTATTTAATAATAGAAAATAATGACACTTTTACATGATTCTTCAAAGCAAGGAAAAGGTGGTGCTCATGAGCCATGAACTAAGAATCGTTTCTATCGAATCTCAAGGCAAAGTCAATGTGCCTCCCTTCTCTTCATTTAGTTTCCTTAACTATACTAAATGCCATAGTTATTACTTACATTTGAAAAGCCCATATTAGTTATTAGGGCTGAGTTAGTTCCCAAGATAAAACCTTGAAAATCCAACAGCAACTCAGTCATTTAGAAAAAAAAGTTTAAATAACATACTTAAAGCAATTACATAAACACATACACAGGGGCTACTTTTCTCTCTTTCTTTTTCTCTTTTAAAATTTGCCAGAGGGTGTGTAGAAAGAGAGAAAAAGAGAAAGTGAGAAAACATTCTCCATGGGGGATGGTCACACTGCAATCCCTTCTCTTCCATTTCTCCCTCTTTTTGGGATTCTGGGCACACATGCACATGGACCTGGCATGTTTCTCAAACCACAGGGCCCACTTCTTGAATTGTGCAGTTGGCCATCTGGGATCTAGCTGCCTTATCCACCATGCCTCTCATTGGCCCTAGACTACTTTTTCAAAACCACAGATTTGCTACATTTTATACCCCCCCCAAAAAAAATCCAGTAAACATAGTTTCCATTTATTGAGAAGGCATAATTCTAGGTTAATTACTACTGTAATCTTATTTAATTTTCACAATATTCATTTTACAGTTTGGAAAACAGAGGATAAGGGGGGTTTAGCCAATTGCCCCAGATTGAGTCTGATTAAAAAGTATGAGCTCTTTTCTTTTATTTTATAAGGAAGGAAAGAAAGGAGTGAGGGAAGAAAAGTGAAAGGGAAAGAATGGAAAGAGAAGAGAAGGTTGGATAGAAACAAAAAGGAAAAAGAAAAGAAACCATGCAATCATTTTCTTTTAAATTAATTTTGTTTAGGACAATGACGGATTTTTTTTTTTTTCTTTCTCATTGGGGAATCTATGGAGAAGCCACTGTTGAGCATTTGAAAAAATTCCTTCAGCCTTAACGACAACCACACAAAATCCCATTAGGAGCCCCTACCTCCGCCCCTACCCTTTGTTTTCTGCCTGTAGACATCTGTGTGCCAAGTTCTATTTCTAGCTCTGACATCATGATCCAGGGCTGGCAAAACTAACAGCCTGGCATTATCTCCATGGAGCCAGCCAATTGAGTGGGGAGTCCCATCCTCCTTGGAAGCCAGGGATGTGAGCTTTACCTGCACATAAATCACCCAGAGCTGCGGCCAATACTTTATAAGCAGAGGTCTTGCCACCCATGGGGTCTCCGACAATCATATAGCCATGTCTTACCAGCATCATCTCATAGATCTGGGGGGAGACATCATGTAAGAAGTTAATCACTACAAGGTTCCCCACACTACAAGTCGGTCAGAAGGCAATGAGTTATGAGGGGCTGAAAGGGAGTTCTTACAATCACTTCTCTGAACGTATAGCCCCTTCTGTGATCTATCATTTAAATATATTTTGGATTAATACATATATGCATGTGTCTCAGATTATATACAAAATGGGAACTATTATTTTTTCTGCTCCTGTCTATGTGCTAAGAACCAACTGATTATCTAAATTATTTAATTTAATTTACCTGAGTATCATGAACCACTTTTTACAGATGGGAACACTGAACCCAAGAGAGGTTAAGTAACTTGCCCAAGTTCATTAGAGGTAGAGCCAGGATTTGAATACAGACCTATCTGATTCCAATACCCCTATTTTTTCCATTACACCACTGCTATTTACTCCTAAAGAGGAAAAAAGAAGTGGCCATCATGTTAGAAAATTGGATTTCTGTTGGAAACTTTCTTTAAAGAAGCCTAATTACTGTTCTGAACTGACTGGAACTCTTAGATAAAAATGTATTTGTTTTAAAAGACAGGCTCCAGGGAATCAGCAGTTAGAGTAATGGCTATGTCGCTGGACTCCCACGTAGTCGACTGCGGTTCGCGTCCTGGACCTGGTGGCTTAAAACTCACGCCGGGCACGTGTGTGTGCATGCCCAAGATCCTGAGAGGAGAATGGAGGAGAAGGGATTACGGCATGGCCATCCCCCCGGGGGGGTGATTTCTCGCTTTCTGTCTCTCTGTCTCTCTGTCTGTCTGGCGAGCGCACACACCCTGTAGTGAAAACCTAAAAAAAAAAAAAAAAAAAAGGACAGGCTCCATGCTGTAAAATATAAATGATATTCCACATAATTTTACCCCCTACCCTCGAATACCAACAGCTATGTGGGAGCCCATTTTTAAAATTTTCCGAATGTATCTTTCTGTCTGTAACAAGTAATCCATGATGAAACACAAATTTTGGTTTTGGTCATTTATGTTTATGTGATGCTGATGATGCTTGTGGAAAGGTTGATAATGGTATAGTATTGGCACCTGATCTAACACCTTACAGACTATTTTCTCAGAATTACTTTACAGGGAAGGTTTTACTCCCTTCATTTTACAATTGAAGGACCCGAGACTCAAAAAAAAACTGAAGTGATTTTTCTAAAAATCTCACAGCAAAAACCTTGTGGGAATGAGTCTGGATTAAGATCTGTACCCAAATCTGTTTCCTCTCTGGATCCCAGTGTCCTACTGAGGTTGGACCAGAGACCGTTTAAGGTTCCCTATAACCCTGGCCTAATTACTTTACATAGAATGTGATCACAGAGAAAGAGCCTAAGATTAGAATGCAGCTTCACTAGGGTGTACTAGGGTCAGGACTACAGAGACATTGGGGACTTCCCTGCCCAACATCCTTGCCTGTCTATGGATAACGGCACCCTAACTTCCCCTGGGGGAGCCGCTCCTTAGTGGTTCAGTTGACATGACTTGGGTAGAGTTGACTCCATCTCTACTGCTGGAAGTGAGGAGGGTGGGGTTATGGTCCAGGTCTTGTCTGCATAATTGAGTCAGATATGGTCATGCGACTTTATCAGAGCCATATAAAGCTAATCCTAAGACTTTTACTGAAGCCATTTGGAATGCGATGGTGTTTTCTTCTGGGCTTGTACCTGGAAATTGATTTCTGAGGCTGCTGGAGAAGTGAATGGGAAGCTAGGAATGAAGTTTTAACACAGAAAGGAGAAGCCCAGAAATGAAAAGGTGTCAATTCCTAATGGCATGATACAAAAACCTGGGCCCTGCTGTGTCTGAGGCCAACATATTTCTGAACCTTTCAAGTTAGATGGATGAATAAATTCCTTTTTCTTGATGAAGGCAGTTTGAGTTGGGGTTATATCATTCAGAACTGAAAAAGCTCTGACAAATAAAATGCTCAAAGATATTAAACTAAAAAAGAAATGCTGGGTCAGCAGGTGGCATGGATGGTAAGGTGCTGGATTCCACATAGCACATTTTGCAATTGGAGTCCCAGACGTGGCAGCTTGAAAATCTAGCCAGGCATGTATGTGTGTGTGTCTAAGATCCTAAGAGGAGAATGGAGGAGAATGGATGGTGTGGTCATTCCTCGGGCAGGTGTGTGTGTGTGTGTGTGTGTGTGTGTGTGTGTGTGTGTGATTTTTCATTTTCTCTCTCTCTCTTTCTCTGTCTTTTTTTCTTTCTCTCTCTGGCGAGTGCATGCATCATATAGCAAAAAGACAAAACAAAACAAAAAAGAAATGCCAAGAAAGATGGCCATAGAGAAAATAATGGATTTTAAACTTCAACTCCTGGATATAAAAACCGAAGGCATTACAGACTGTTAGGTGGCCTTTTAACTCCCATCTGTCCGCAGGCACTTCTGACTAATGTCAGCTCCATTCTGCCATATGAATTTCTAATTACTGACTACACCAAACAGTAAAACAATACTATTCCCATATGGGTACCAGAAACCAACCTGGATAATTTTCCCAATAAACCAAGGGACTGGCTGAAGTTTCATCTTTTTGATATTTTCATTCAGCACTTCCATAAAAACTTCATAGTCTGGCTTTGGAAGAATAACTCCAGGAAACAAATCTGATATAATTCCCTGATAACAAGAATTCAAGAGAAAGTGGAAACGATGAAGTATCAGATATGTGATATCACCATCTTCCTAAGATGAGCTCTATAGACAGCAGGAATTTTTGAAAACTTCTAAACCTCATTTTTCATGCACCAAAACCCATATAAAGTTACAAATGTCAACACTTTCTGTAAAACATGATTTTCCTCTTAAATACTTGAAGAAGTCATCAAATAATGAATGAGTTTGTACTTTCTTCCAGTTATTGTAGTCGGAATGACCAAGATCATTATGATTTCTGTTTTTATGGAGCATATGGGCCTGGTAAGGAACATAGGCATTAGCTTAATTGTAAAAGGAAACGAATTAAATGGGGTTAAAACAGCAACCCAAATCCAATAGCATATATCATCCTATTGGTGAAGCCATTTTTATTAAAATCAGAAACTAGACAGGAATGTTAGCTATTATCATTACTGGTTAACATTTGAGGGAACCAGACAACAGGGATGCAAGCTGGAGAAAAGAGTATCAGGAGATGGTATTGTATGTGGAGAAGGTGCCAAAGAAAATGTTTCACCTTCAGATGAGCCTTGGTCCTTGGCTAAGATCTCAGACCGATGCATACCTGAAACAGAGGGACATCTTGGGCTAAGAACTTGGCCAGGTTGACATCAAGCAAGGCCCGGAGCAGCAAGACACTTTCATTCTCCTCTGGATACTTGAGCTTCAGGTTTCCTGCAGCTGTGAGCACAGACTTGACGGCACGCATGCCGTAGTCATAGTGATGCTGAGAGGAGAGTTGTTCTGAGCACAGGCGGTAGGTTGCCACAATCTTCTGGGCAAGACTGGAAGGGCAAAGACATGTCTGGAGACACCCAGAGAAGACCACACTCTGCTCAGCAGACATTCTCACATCCTTGTCCCCTGTGACTTTAGAGTCAGGCCTGCCTATGTACTTGATGGAGAAGCCCTATCATTTGAAGGTCTTCTACTAGCATTACTATAATGAGCTGAGGAAGCATTATAACCATCAAAACTAGGATGAAAAAAAGCAAACACAAACATATGTCTAACATGTCCTATATATGAAATTATACATTATATACTTCTTTATTATTTTTATTATTTATACATTAAATCGCTACACATCGTTTAGATCATAAAGAGATTTTACCCAGCATGATATAAGCCACACACCAGGCAAGTTGAGAATACTATACACAACATCATCAACAGGCAATAAAACATATCTGTGTCCCACAAATTGTCTTCTCCATTATTTCCCAAATTTCCCTTCCTGCACTCTTCGTCTCTCCCACTCTCCTTCTACTTCGCCACCCCGCCCCCTTCATAACAATTTTCAATGCTTTTTACTTGTATATATGAATGCATGTGCACGCATACACAAGTTTGGGAAGACTACATCAAATTACCAACAATGTTAATCCCTACAGAGTGGGACTATGGCTTTCTAAGGGGAAACTCACTTTTTCACTTCTGTAACAAGGCAGTTTTTTTTTCAATGTCTGAGTTTTTTAAAAAAACATTTTTTAATTGCCAGAGGGAACATATGATTACCACAGAGAGAAAGAGAAAAAAAGAGAGAGAGCACCCTCAATGGGCCATGGTCATACCACAATCACTTTTTCTTCATTTATCTACCCCTTCAAGATTTGGAGAATGCACACATATATGCCCAGTGTGGTTTTTAAGCTTCTGGGGGGCTGGGACTCAAACCATGGTTGGCTGTACGGGATCTGGTTTCCAATGCACTGTGCTACAAAGGCCAGCCCTCAATGTCTGTTTTACTTTTTTAATTTAAGAAAACCAATTCTGAGAGCCAGCAGGTGGTGTAGTATTAAGGGGCTGGACTCCCACATGATCTATTGAGGTCCAAGTCCTGGACCTGACAGCTTGAAAATCACACTGGGCACATGTGCGTACATGCCCAAAATCCCAGGAGGAAAATGGAGAAGGGACTGTGGTGTGGCCATCCCCTCTGGGGTGTGATTTCTCACTTTTCTTCTCACTGTCTCTGGCGAGTGCACATGCCCTATGGCAAATACCTTAAAAAAGTAAAATGACCAATGCCAACTTTAATATAATCAGCACACAGCACGTGTGTATTCATGTACATGGACATGTCTTGTATTTCCTGGTCACATTTCCCAGCCTACCCTGTAGTAGCGGGACCACACTACAGAGATCTTGCCAGTGGAGTGCAAATCTGATACATGCCACTTAGAAGGCTGGCTCACAGAAACCTCAGATCTTCCATGCCACGTGTCGTAGCCAAGAGATGTAAGTAACCTGAGTCTCTGAAGTAGGGTGGGGTCAGGACCAAGGCCACGGTCTGTGCTCTCTGACCAGCAGAAACAAGTTTCTGGCTTCCCTCTTTTCTTCCAAAGGGCAAATCACCTTGAATTCACCACATGAAAAGTTACTCTTTAAAGGCCTTTAGAACCCACTGGAAAACCAGTGTAACTCACCTTCTAGAGTCCAGAAACCCCATAGAGTAGAGAGAGATTTCTCCAATGAGGGCATAATCTGGCACCATCATGGCCACTGTCCGGAACAAGGCCTAGAAAAGATACAATCAACCAAGACCTGGACATGCACAGTGAAAAGCAGGGAAAGGCACATCTACAGATAGGAAGGGCAGTGACATGATCATTCAGGCCATTCCAATGACAATCAAGAAAGGGAGGGCTGGATGACAAGTCAATGCAGAAGGATCATCTTCAAGAGACAGATCCAGTGCTCAATTAAGCTGCCCACTGGCCCTATGCAGGTACATGCTGTCACACTGAGTCCTCAGTGCTTGTGTGAGAGACCCTAAGTGTTGGTATTCCAACAACACCTTATTCTCCCACGCCCAGTGAGGACATCTCATGGCATCATTCTACTGTCGCTTCCCAGTGTTCCATGTGGATATCAGAGGTCATTTAGGAATGCAGGACCAAAATACATCAGAAGAATCCTAAAGTCAGATACTCGATCTGAGTTCTTTTTCTGCTACTTACTAGCTGTGGGCAAGTTTAAAGCCCCAGTAGACCTCAGTTCTTTTATCTCAAAATGGGCTCACAACTGTGCCCTCCTCATACAGTTATCACGAGAATCAATGATACAACATAACTGAAGTGCTCATAAAAGCGTGTGGCAGGAACCAGCAGTTAGCGTAATGGCTATGTCGCTGGACTCCCACGTAGTCGACCGCGGTTCATGTCCCAGACCCAGTGGCTTAAAACTCACGCCGGGCGCGTGTGCGTGCGTGCCCAAGATCCCGAGAGGAGAATGGAGGAGAAGGGATTGCGGCGTGACCATCCACCCCCCAAACACCAGCTATTGTATTATTATCTTAGATCTGAGAGGAGAGGTGACTTGCCTGAGCCATGGAGGTACTTACGAGTAGAGCCAGAACCAGAACCTAGCTTATTAACACCAACCTTTGGTGCACTCTTGCTGTCTCTCTAGCTGGAATAGCTTGCTTTGGCATGGAAACTGCTTAAGCTTGACCATCTTAGTAATAACTGGGAGCTCCCTGTAGTCTAGCCTAGGCTTATCAGAGTTCTCTGCATTGAAATGTGATACTCTCTTATGAGTGGATCTATTGGGTTGTCAGAAAAGTTAAGACACATTTTTGCACAGAAAAAATATGTCATGAGTTTCTAGACAATCCAATATTTTATTTGGCCTAAAGTGTTTTGTTTTAATTGAGCCAAGATCTAAATATCAGAACATTTTATGTAAAAATCCAAATTTCTGGCTTCTCCTGAAAAAAATAAAAAATGAGAAGACCTGACAATTCCTGTTTGGCAGCAGTAAACTAGAGTTAAGAAGTGGCAACTGGCTCTTGCTGGGGCATTCACCAAAGTCGCTCTAAAGCCTAGTTTGCTTCTCTGGTTTATATTACCTGACTCCTATAAACAACTAAAATAGGACTCTTGTTCTAGTGTTCATTGTTTTCTATTTGCCATTGATCATTATGCATGTATGCCCCTGCCCTGTGAGACCTTGTTGGGGAGCCAAGAAATATCTCACCACCATTGGCACTCCATTGCCGCTTCCAATGGCTAAAAATGCCCCATTTTTGGACTTTGCTATGAGAAGCTTGGGTGGGTATTCCTAGAAGTTTCCACTATTATGGGGACCAGCAGTTAGCATAATGCCTATGTCACTGGACTCCCATGTAGTAGATTGCAGTTCGAGTCCTGGACCCAGTGGCTTAAACTCATGCCGGGCACGTGTGCGTGCGTACCCAAGATCCCAAGAGGAGAATGGATTACAGTGTGGTCACTCCTACCCCCCAAAGGGTGATTTCTCACTTTCTGTCTCCCTGTCTTTCTCTGACTTTCTGGAAAGTGTACACGCACTAAAGCAAAAACCTCTCCAAAAAAAAAAAAAGTTTGCACTATTATGAAGCACATCTACCATAACATTTATACATGCTGATGTTTACCTTGAGGTTATCTGGCAGCTCAGCCCTGCCAGCATATCCGGGGTTCATGGTGATGAAGACAGCACAGGTTGGGTTCAAAGAGAGCTCAGTGCCTTCAAAGATGAACGTTTTCAGCTTCCGGATAATGGCCTGTTGAATGCTGAGAATCTGCTGAGCTACCACAGATAGCACTTCTACCTAAGGTGAGAATGTGAGCTCCTCTTCAGTCAGCTACCCACTCTGCCAGAGGCCCCTCACTTAGCAAACAAATAACCCAGTCACCCGAAAACCAGGACTTTATGTTCAAAATTAGGAGCATGATTTGGAGCTTTGGTAAAGAAAAAGAAAATTGGTGTGTTTATGTGAGTGTATAAGTGACTTCCATAATATTTTATCTTTGTCCCAATACTTAGTATAATGCTTGTTACACAATAGGTACTCAGGGTTTATTATTCCAAATTTTATTTTTTCCAATATCCATTCTCCACCTGAATAGGATCAATCATCCACTTTATTATTAATATTTTAGAGAGATTTTTTGCTATAGGGCATGCATGCTCACCAGAAAGACAGACAGACAGAAAGTGAGAAATCACACCCTAGAGGGGATGGCTATGCTGCAATCCTTTCTCTTCCATTCTCCTCTCAGGATTTTGGGCATGCACACACATGCTCCCAGCATGAGTTTTTTTTAAGTTGCTGGGGCTGGGACTCGAACCACTGTTGACTATGTGGGAGTCCAGCGATGTAGCCATTATGTCATGTGCTGGTCCCAATCATTCACTTTTTAAAATAATGCCTCTTTCATACTGCTATCATAAATATCTATCATATTAGATTTGTTTCATTTCATTTTTATTTCCCTTTACTAGATTGTAACAGTCTATATGGCAAGACAAATTTTTTAATCATCTTTGCATCATAAATGCATGCAGAGTTGCTGACCTGTAGTACCTGCTCAATACATTTTTTTTTTTTGAGAGGTTTTCACTATAGGGTGCGTGCGCTCTCCAGACAGACAGAGAGAGACATAGAGACAGAAAGTGAGAAATCACCGCCCAGAGGGGATGGCCACACCACAATCCCTTCTCCTCCATTCTCCTCTTGGGATCTTAGGCACGCATGCACACGTGCCTGGCGTGAGTTTTAAGCCACCGGGTCCGGGACGCGAACCACAGTTGACTATGTGGGAGTCCAGCGACATAGCCATTACACTAACTGCTGGTTCCCCCTGCTCAATACATTTTTTAATGAGTCTGTGAATAAGTGAATATGATAGGAAAGGGGGGGATATGTGTATAAAATATGCATTCTATTCCTTATGTTTGTTTTGTTTTCGTTTAGTTCATTGGGTATCTACTCTATGTAAAGGATCAGAAAGGAAACAGAAGTCCCTGTTGTTAAGGAGCTAAGAGTCCAGAAAAAAGCCCCTCCATGTCAAACACACCTGTTCTGTAGCCTAGAAGCAGAATTACCTCAATTCTGTTGAATTCATCAAAGCAGGCCCATGCTCCAGCCTGGGCCAGGCCCTTGAAGAACTTCCCCATGGCTTTGTAATCCAAGCCGTCAGAACAGTTGAAGACCACACACTAGAAAAGAGAGAGGATGCAGTACAAGTCAGGATGGCTTCCATCACATCTGAAGCGCCTTGTACCACCAAACAGGGGTGGGTCTCCCCTCTTCATGTTCTCCTGAAAGAACTGGTGCCCCACTCTGCCTGTTACACTAAACCATCCTGAACTTCATGCTCGTGTCCCTGGACAAAGGTAAGATAGAGGCAGGAAGAGAAGGTGGGATGGACAGCATTTCTCTACCTGCTTGGCCAAAGCTTTGGCCAGATCTTTGGTGGTTTCTGTCTTTCCCGTTCCAGCTGGACCCTCTGGGGCTCCCCCAAGGTTCAGCTTCAAAGCTCCCATAAGCGTCCTTAAGGGAAAGAAATAAGAACTCAGGAAAGAAACTGGCTTTTTCTTTATTTTGATTCATACAAATAAGTAAAAATTTCTGCTGATTATATATGACCAAAACATCATCCTGGCAAAAAAAAGTTCTGCTTTAGTCAGAACTATAACATCAGAGCCTGGCACATGGCAGCACCTATAAACATTAGCTTAAATGAATAATCAAATGAATAAATTCACACATACAGACATAAATGAATCAAATAAAACAATGCTTTAACTCCTCATGCTAAAGGCACCAGAGATAATGTAATGGTGAAAATAAATATATCGCTCCCACTAGACCACGAACTCTTCAGTTCAGAAGGCATAATTGTCTCAGTTTTGTGTCCTTCACAAATTAACACAGTGCCTGGCATGTGGTAATTCAAGATAAATATTAGAAATAAATGATGTGCTATTCCACAGCCCTTGTCTCTATAATTCAAGTTAACGTGCTATCTTGTAATCAACTGGACATGTCTCCTCCTCAGTTAGATTTAGGATTCCTTAAGGTCATGGATAGTACACAGAAAAGTTCAAGAAATGGTTGCTAAATAATGAATGGAATAAATGAATGAATAAAGAGCAAAAAATCACAGAATATACAAAATAAGTGATTGAGAATTTGGGGAGAAGATACTTTGAAGCATTATTTTTATAACCTTGAAAGATTCCACTGTAAAAAAAATACATAAAAGCAAAGAGACTATGTACTGAGAAATTAACAAGTACTCAAAATGTAGACTCCAAAGGTTATGAATTCCATGAAAAGTGGCAAAGCACTTTGCTGAACACAAATGACTACATCTCTCCATTAGACTGGCTGGAAGAGCTGAGAGACTTTTTGTCTGGGTCCTTGCCCTGGCCTCTCATCTATCTCTTGGCCACATGAGCTCTAGAAACCATCTTGATTCCTGCCACGGGAGAGCTTTCTACTTAAGTCCCATGTCATATTCATGGAATGCACCAATATTCTCATATTGGTTCAAACATACTAATTGGCACTGGGATGCCTACTGGGTTCTCATTTATGGCCTGAAGATCTAGTTTCTATGCCCATGTGTGAAATCACGGTGACTAAGCATGAAATTCTAAAACCTGACAATCTAAAATGTAGAGAGTAAAGGAAAAGAACGAAGATGCCCTAACCTTCCTCTCCAGAGTCTTTTGCCTTTGGAGTTCTCTATTTGCCCTTCAGGTCTGGAAGCCCCAGCATTTACCTGTAGCAGCGGTCAGTGAGGGGTGTGATCACCAGCCGGGGGGAGTTTCCCAGGTACTCATAGCCATACAAGGCTTCGGTAGTTATCATTTGCACCTGCACATCCTTGGCCTGCCAGTAGTAGCGCAGCTGCGAGATCCACTGGAAATCGTTCAGGTCAGAGACCCCATTCTCAGATAACTTGGCCACTACATCCCGAGCTGTTGGGACATAGATGCAGAAATATGTGCACACAGAGCTATGGGAATTCTCCCATCCTCATAAACTCCTCAGTTAGAATAGGTCTGAGGCTATTATCAAAGCTACCCCTCCCTCTCCTGATAATTTCAGGCTCAAATCCTCCTGGTCTACTTCCAATTTGCAGGTAGTAGGATTTGTCAAAAGAAGGTCATTGTTTCCATTCAAGGAGCCAGGCAAAGAATCTGCTGTACTGGGGCAGTCCTGTGGCCTAGTGGTTAGAATCTCAGAGAGCATAGCAGAGATATTAAATGAGCATGAAGTATATTCATTTAATTCTCATGATAACCCTAAGAAGGTAGGTACTATGCCATCCCCATTTTACAGATCATGCAACTGAGGGACAGAGAACCTGAGTAACTTGCTTGACGTCACATAGCTAATTAATGGTGTACCCGGAAATTAAACTCAAGCTATCTGATTTAAGAATATCAGATAGATAGATAAACAAAAAGACAGAGAGATGATAGAGATACAGAAAAGTGTCTGGCATATAAAAACACTATGTAAGTACTAGTTACTGTGATCATCCCTAACTCTTCAGGGGCTAACCCCGAGGGCTTTGCAATGTATAGTTACCCCAAATTCTGTTATATCCCCAGCATGGCCCTTTTGGTTCTATTGCATGCCTCTAGGTTATCGTAGGAGAATGCAGTCATCTGGGCGGATGTAGTTAGCAGAGGAAAGGGGCCCATGAATCCGTGATTAGATGTATTCTTTCCATCTGGGAGCCTGAGAAATCGGTAGGGAGATACATTTCTAGTTTTTTTCCTCCTTTTCTCATAGGATTGCGAGCCTAATTTAATTTTCTCACAGTGACAGGAGTCCTGATGTTGAAGAGTAGATGTAGGTTTGTGAAAATCATTAATTATTTTTTAGGTAACTCACAGGGTGAGAGCTATTAAAATCTCAGAGTTAGTACAGTAGGCTCAAAATTACCATCTTAGAAACGTAACTCTGTAAAGAGATGCTTGTGTAAGTGCAGTGCTTCTTTGTGAGAAAAGTCTTATTACAGTAAAATCCAAAGCCCTGCAGAGAAGATCCCTAGAAGAAGATGATATCCACAGCTCTTTCTTCCTTCCTGGGGAATTTAATTCCCCCTCTGGGTTCTTACGAGAATGAAAAGGGTATAGGGTAGTAGGAGGAGGAGGAATATGCATGAGACACCCAAAAGGAAAGTGAATTTCAAAGGACAGAGTTGGGGGTGTCTTCCCCATGCAGTGTATGTGCGTATGTATGTGTGTGTCTGCAAACCCAGCCATTCTGGGGGCCCTTATCATTGCTACCAACTAGTTATGTGACTGCATAAAGAGCACATTCTCCCTCTGGCTCCCTGATTTTATGCTAATCTACCCAAATAAAAGCAGACAGAAATGAGCATCCACCTTGAGAGGAGTAAGATGACATGAAATGCCAGGAGACTGGGTGTGTGAGCAAGAGATGCTATTCCCAGGCAACCAGCCTGGTCCAGCCCTAGTTTCCTTGGTGATGATAAAATGAGGGTGTGGAGGTGGTTTGTTTTTCTGTAAAGACTTCAGTGCTTCCTCCTCCTCCTCTTTTTCTCTCATTCTTTTGTTTTGTTTTGTTTAAGGAGGAACTGTAAGGTATCATGTCTTACCTCTCTTCCCTGATCACTGTCCATTTCCAGTCCCTTGGGTTTGGAATTGGACAAGCACAGGAGCCTCTGCTACTTACTAGCTGTGTTCCTCTTGGCGAGTTATTTTTTTATTTATTCTATTAACTGTGATCATCCCTAACTCTTCAGGGGCTAACCCCGAGGGCTTTGCAATGTATAGTTACCCCAAATTCTGTTATATCCCCAGCATGGCCCTTTTGGTTCTATTGCATGCCTCTAGGTTATCGTAGGAGAATGCAGTCATCTGGGTGGATGTAGTTAGCAGAGGAAAGGGGCCCATGAATCCGTGATTAGATGTATTCTTTCCATCTGGGAGCCTGAGAAATCGGTAGGGAGATACATTTCTAGTTTTTTTCCTCCTTTTCTCATAGGATTGCGAGCCTAATTTAATTTTCTCACAGTGACAGGAGTCCTGATGTTGAAGAGTAGATGTAGGTTTGTGAAAATCATTAATTATTTTTTAGGTAACTCACAGGGTGAGAGCTATTAAAATCTCAGAGTTAGTACAGTAGGCTCAAAATTACCATCTTAGAAACGTAACTCTGTAAAGAGATGCTTGTGTAAGTGCAGTGCTTCTTTGTGAGAAAAGTCTTATTACAGTAAAATCCAAAGCCCTGCAGAGAAGATCCCTAGAAGAAGATGATATCCACAGCTCTTTCTTCCTTCCTGGGGAATTTAATTCCCCCTCTGGGTTCTTACGAGAATGAAAAGGGTATAGGGTAGTAGGAGGAGGAGGAATATGCATGAGACACCCAAAAGGAAAGTGAATTTCAAAGGACAGAGTTGGGGGTGTCTTCCCCATGCAGTGTATGTGCGTATGTATGTGTGTGTCTGCAAACCCAGCCATTCTGGGGGCCCTTATCATTGCTACCAACTAGTTATGTGACTGCATAAAGAGCACATTCTCCCTCTGGCTCCCTGATTTTATGCTAATCTACCCAAATAAAAGCAGACAGAAATGAGCATCCACCTTGAGAGGAGTAAGATGACATGAAATGCCAGGAGACTGGGTGTGTGAGCAAGAGATGCTATTCCCAGGCAACCAGCCTGGTCCAGCCCTAGTTTCCTTGGTGATGATAAAATGAGGGTGTGGAGGTGGTTTGTTTTTCTGTAAAGACTTCAGTGCTTCCTCCTCCTCCTCTTTTTCTCTCATTCTTTTGTTTTGTTTTGTTTAAGGAGGAACTGTAAGGTATCATGTCTTACCTCTCTTCCCTGATCACTGTCCATTTCCAGTCCCTTGGGTTTGGAATTGGACAAGCACAGGAGCCTCTGCTACTTACTAGCTGTGTTCCTCTTGGCGAGTTATTTTTTTATTTATTCTATTATTATTTTTTAAAATTTGCTATAGGGCACGTATGCTTGCCGGGGAGAGATAGAGAAGGAGAGAGAGAAGGAAAGTGAAAAAGCACTCTCCAAGAGGAATGGCCACACCACAGTCCCTTCTCCTTCCTTCTCCTCTTGGGATTTTGGGCATGCAACACACATGCCTGGTGTGTTTCTCAGGCTGCACAGTCAGCCATGTGGGATCCAGCTGCCATAACCACCTTGTAACCAGCTGGCTCACTATTTAGTTGTTTTTAATTTAAAAAAAAGGTTTTAATTGCCAGAAGGCATATGCACTCACCAGGAGGGAGAGAGATAAGAGAAAGAGAAAGAGAGAGAAAAAACACCTGCCTCCCAATAGGGTGTGGTTACGCCACAACCCTTTTTCCTCTATTATTCTATCCCGTCAAGATTTGGGGCACACGTGCACATATCCCCAACATGTTTTGCAAGCTGCCGCTGGGACTAGAACTGCAGTTGGCCGTGTGGGATCCAGCTCCCTATGCACGGAACTTAACCACTGCACTATGGGACTGAACCTAGCACCAGATTCTTAATATGGGAAACATATATGAAAATGAGATTATGAATGTCAATCACTTAGCACAAAGCATGGTGCCTAGTGAGTATTCAAAAATATTGAGTTATAGGGCCAGCCCCATGGTCTGCCAGTCAAAGTAAATGGATCCTGTATCTGACAGCTTAAAAAAACACTCCAGGTATATGTGCTTGTGTGCCCCCAAACCTGACAGGATACAGAAATGGAGACGAGACTGTGGGATGACCACATCCCATTGAGGGGGTGCTTTGTCCCTCTCCCTCTCTTTTTCTCTGTCTTTCTGTATCTCTCTCTAGTAAGCACACATTCTGGCAATTAAAAAACTTATTTTTTAAAATACCAAGTTATGGTTAGCCCAAGAAAATCATTCCAAGTTGGTGACCCTTAGAAATGGATACGGCCATCATTGTCTAAGAGACATTATTGTTTAGAGGGTTCCTGAAAATAAGGTTGGGGACGGGAAGAGGAAAAAACAAGATGGAAATACACAGAGCTCCCGGCTGTTGGGTCTCTCCTCACTCCCTCACCTTACAATCAGTTGGAAAAGCTTCTCCCTAATGGAGAAGGAAACAACATCATTTGGTGCAGGAAAACTGAAAGAAGCAAGCCTGACTGCTATTCCTGAACAGCCAGTAAGGTCAAGGGTAGTCCCCTTGCTTACCGTGGACATCGATGACCGTGAGAGCCCCGAGAGTGAGTCGAGCTCCACTGCTCAGCTTCCCTCGCACCAGCTGGACTATCTGTGCAATCTGCTCATTGCTCTTTTCCAGAAAATTCTGCAAGGCAGAGGAGCAAACAACTGGTTAAACTAGACTCTCTGATAATCCTCATTGCAGGAAATGGCACCACCAGATGCCAGACTCCTGGATGGTATATCGAGCCTGCCTGTTCCTCCTTCCTAGTCATGAGCCTCGAGATGAATCAAGTGAATTGGGCAAACTGTAAGAAGCCAGATTTAGAAGGCTGGACACTGCATGGTTTTATTTTCACAAGGGCACTTTAAAAAGTTTATGAAAAAGTGGAATTTTAGTATGAGTTTTTTATGGTACAAAAAAATATGAAAATCCATGCAAAGTTTTTTTTAATAATATGCATTTTCCATTAACTTCTTGAATATCCCTTTTTATGACTTTGTGTAAAAGGCAGAACTACAGGGGCAGAAAATAGATCGGTTTCTGCCAGAGCTGTGGAGTAGGAAGATAGTTTGACGACAAAGGGCACGAGGGAATTTTGGGGTGTTGTGGAATTGTTCTATGTCTCAATTATGATGGTGTTTACACAAATGTATGCATGTGTCAGAACTCAGAACTGCACACTAAAAAGGTGAATTTTAGTGTATTAAGTATATAGTAAACCAGAATTAATTTTTAAAAATCTGAATCTTCAGATTAAAAGAGGCAAAGAGGTATAAAAAAATATCTATAATGTGTAATCCTGGATTGAAACCTGGTCCAGAAAAAAAAGACACTAGTAGGGCAACAGGCTAAATTTAAATTACTCAATTTAAAAGGCTTAAAAAAAAAAAAAGACCTATAGATTTGAGAATAATATATTCATTGGTTTCCTAATTTGTACAATTGCACTGTGGTTATCAAATATGTTAATATCTGAGGAATCTAGGTGAAGAGGATTCTTTATATTATTTTTGCAGTAGGGCAACAGGCTAAATTTAAATTTCTCAATTTAAAAGGCTTAAAAAAAAAAAAAGACCTATAGATTTGAGAATAATATATTAACATTGGTTTCCTAATTTGTACAATTGCACTGTGGTTATCAAATATGTTAATATCTGAGGAATCTAGGTGAAGAGGATTCTTTATATTATTTTTGCAACTATATGTATAAGCCTGGTAGTATTTCAAAATGAAGATGTAAAAAATAAAAATGAATTTTCAAAAGGAAAAAAGAGACCACCTAAGGTTCTGGGCAGGTGATTTTAAACTCTGTCTCTTGGTCTGTCACATCTAGACAGTTACAGTCACCTTTTCAAGCTGATTTGGGATCGAATGAGATAGTGTTTATGTGACGATGTCCTTGGCACATGGCCTAACGTGAAAGTATTTTCAGTCTTCCTCCCCACTGCCCTTGGTGATGGACCTGTTCCCCACATCTCTTTTAACCACACCCATTCCACAGCTATTCTAGACCAGAGTGCCTTCAGTTGCTGGACCGTACCATTGCTCTCCATCTTCAGACTTTTGCATATTCCAGGTCCTCTCTCTGGAACATTCATCCTCCTATCCTGTCTGGCTAATCTTAACTCATATTTTAGATTTCCTTTTTGGCGCCACTTTTCTGGGAAATCTTCTCTAATCCTCATTCCTCTCTCACATTCCTCCTCCCTCTGCACATTTCCTGGATCCCTGTTCCCTTACTGCAGTTCTAGAAAAGAGCCTCTTTCTACCCCACCAGCTATAAATCCCCGAAGACAGGGACTATGTCTGCCTCATTCACCTCTAATTCCCTTTGTCAAGTAGCATGGTCCCGGCACAGAAAAGATGACAAACAAACACTAGTGAAATGAAGAATGAATAGATAGATGGATGGATGACCCTGCTTGCCAAGACCTGCTTCCTTTAGGAGACTGAGGCACATTATAGAGCATGCGTGCACTCTGGACTTGAGTGTGTAATGGGGAACATTCTGCCTACCAGGAACAGAGATGCAGGCACAAAAGTCAGAAGGCTTTAGAGTTTCTGAAGTTTAAAATGATATGTATGAAAATGGTTTCCAAGTGTACAGTGCAATACATGTATTAGAAATTATCAACGGGGAACTTACATAAATATGAGCCTTGATCAAAATTAATGTTCTGAGTGTAATGCATAAAGTAAAATAGGGTAATTAAAACAGTCTGATACACATCCAGTTTTCTAAAGGGATTAACAGGAAGATTGATGAGATCGTCATGGGAAAATTATACCATGGTAGAAAAATTGAACATAGTTACCATTTATTCTCAACAAATATTCATTGAGTACCTACTCATTGCAAAAACACCTGGAGATATAATAGCGAGGACAGACATGGCGTCTTCTCTGTAGGATTATAACCTGGCATCTAAGCACTGAATAATTTCCTGGAATCTTTTGTAACCCTCCCACAATAATATGATGTGCTACAACTCCTTGCATTTTATAGACAAGGAGGCTGAGACTCAGGTTGAATTGCTTCTGGTCACATGACTAACAAGCGACTGTGTCAGGATTTCTTACTGACATACAATAGTAGTAAAAGTCTGTGAGGTACAATGTGATACTTTTTAGTACAAGAACACATGTGGAGACCAGATGGTGGTATGGCAGCAGCAGAGTCCTTGGTTCTTGTCCTGAGACTTCCCTGCATGCACTGGACACATGCAATGTGCCTGTGATCCAGGTTGGCTGGGCTGGGGTGGGGGCTTGTGTGGCAGTGAGGACCTTGTGGGGATGCCTATCTCCATCTGTATGTGTCTCTATCTCTCTCATGGAAAAAGTTAACTAAAAAAAAATATGATGTGTGATTGATCAAATCAGGGAAATCAGTATATTGACTCAGTCATTTGTCACTGTTTTATGTTGGGAGCTTTCAAAATCTTTTTTAGTGGGACCAGCAGTTAGCGTAATGGCTATGTCGCTGGACTACCATATAGTCGACTGTGGTTTGAGTCCCGGACCCGGTGGTTTAAATTCACGCCAGGCGCATGTGCGTGCGTGCCCAGGATCCTGAGAGGAGAATAGAGGAGAAGGGACTGCAGTGTGGCCATCCCCCCTGGGGGGTGATTTCTCGCTTTCTATCTCTCTGTTTCTCTCTGTCTGTCTGGCGAGCACACGCGCCCTATAGCAAAAACCTCTCCAAAAAAAGAAAAATATTTTTTTTTTAGTTATTCTGAGATATATAGCAAATTGTTAATAACTGTATCCACCCCACTGGATTTTATAACACTATTGCTTCTATCTGTCATTTCATTTGCATTAAAAAATGTGACCACAGGCCAGTTGATAGCATGGTAAAGGGGGCCGCTTCCTATATGGCTGACAATACAGTTCAAGTCCCAGATCCAGGGCTTATAAAACATGCCAGGTGCAAGTGCATGCATGCTCAGGAAAGGAGAAATGGAGGAGAAGGGACTGCAATGTGACCATCATTCATGGGGGGAGAGGTACTTTCTCATTTTCCTTCTCTCTGGCAAATGCGTGAACTCTCTAGCAAATTTTTACACGTGACCTCATAGAAGTAGAGTTGAAGAATGACTACTGTAGGCTGGGAAGGATAGAGGGGAACTGGGTAGAGGGATGTTGATTAATGTGCCAACATTTGAACCCAAGTCCATCCAGGTCTTATACTCTTAAACACTGACATCAAGTGACTAGAAATACTTATATCTGGACCTGAGGATAAGCAGGCACTTGAGTGGACCTCATCTCAATAGACAGCTGATGAGAGTGTTAGAGGTAGATCCTGGTGGGCCTGGGGGTGTTGAGAAGGGGAAGTGCTGGAGGAGTAGAAGAAAATGGTGGTCCCCTGGCCTAGAATAAAGAGACCTAGATAAGGAGTCTCTGTTGGTGGGAATTCTTCCAGATTGATCCCTGGAAGCAAAGGCTGATGAGACAGACTCCTGTGGGCCAGAATTTCTAACCTCTGTCTAGAGGTCTTACACTATAGCACTCTAGGATGGCCCCAATTCCAAATTCTCCATCCCACTAGCCTCATGAGAACCCTGGCTTCTGTGATGCTGTGGGCCCATGTTATTTCTGATTAGAAAACAAACCATGACTACTCTAATTACAAGTCACTCAAATCCTAACTGATGCTTGGATCTCCTGTGCCAGCTTCACAGCAGGTCACTTACCGGTAGAGTATGTTCAGCCAGGGCTTCAGACACCTCTTTGGTCCAAAAGATGGAAGAGACACAGATAACCACCTGGCCCGGCCACTCCAAGACCCACTGATTACGAGGAACCTGGGAAAGTGTAGTAAGGCCTGTTGTTGGATCAGTTCACCACGTTGAGTTCAAACAAACTTTACAAAAACATGTCCCAACAACTCACCCCCACAACAAAACCAAAATCCTTCCCCACTCTCAGATAACTACACGTCTTGACATCTCTGGGATTGTTGAATTTTGCCTTCCTCTCTGAATATTATGAGAAAGGAAAAGAAATCAATCATCATCAACTCTTTGTATTTTTTCAGTGATATTTTTCACTTGTTTTGTTTATAATCAAGTGGTGCTCAGAGAATTCTTATAACCCCTTTCTTTTTTTTTTTTTTTTTTTTTGGAGAGATTTTCACTATAGGGCGCGTGTGCTCACCAGACAGACAGAGAGAGACATTAAAGAAAGAAAGCAAGAAATCACCCCCTAGGGGGGATGATCACCCTGCAATCCCTTCTCCTCCATTCTCCTCTTGGGATCTTGGGCACGCACACACACGTGCCCGGCATGAGTTTTAAGTCACCGGGTCCAGGACGCGAACCACGGTCAACTATGTGGGAGTCCAGCAACATAGCCATTACGCTAACTGATGGTTCCCGCTTGAGAGTTTTTTCTTATTGGGTGTGTGCGCTCACCAGGAAGACAGAGACAGAGAGATAGAAAGCAAGAAATCACCCCTCAGAGGAGATGGCCACGCTGCAATCCCTTCTCCTCCATTCTCCTCTCAGGATCTTGGGCACGCACACACACATACATGCCCAGCAAGAGTTTAAGCCACCGTGTCTGGGACTCGAACCACGGTCGACTACATGGGAGTCCAGCAACATAGCCATTACGCTAACTGCTGGGACCAGAACTACTTTTTTTTTTTAAGAAAGATTTTTTTTTTTGTTTTGTTTTGCCATAGGGTGTGTGCATTCACTGGAGAGAGGCAACAAGAGATAGAAAGTGAGGCATCATCCCCTAGGGGATGGCCATGCTGCAATCCCTTCTCCTCCAATCTCCTCTTGCGATTTTGGGCACATACGCACATGCAGCTGGCCTGAGTTTCAAGCTGCTGGGTCTGTGACTTACACCGAGGTCACATGTGGTAGTCCAGTGCCTCAACCACCATGCCACCTGCTGGCCTCATAACTACTCTTTTTAATGGCTAGATAATATTATAGTGCTCTGCCACAGTTTTCTCAGCCATGTCTCCTTCTCCCCTCTCCCCACTTTGTCCTTAAACTATAGATCAGGAGTGAGAAGACTATGGCCCGGAATCCAAATCTGGCATGCCTATTTTGTAAATCGTAGGGGATGTATTAAAACATACTTATACCCATCCTTTACGTTTTGTCTGTACTGTTTTTATGCTACAAGGACAAAGACAAGTGGTTGTGACAGGAGTGAAGCCTTCAGAGCTGAAAATATTTACCACCGAGCCCTTTACAGAAAATGTTTGCTGACTCTTGTTATAGGTTGGATTGCATGAAAAAATTTCATACTGGTAGTTGTTTTTCTGGTAGTTTAGATTCAGAATATATCCTAGGGGAGTGGGTTGACCTTTTATGTACAATCCAAATATTACTTCAAGGACAGCAGGATCAGTCCTCAACACTTCACTGTGAAAGTATTAACTGAATATTGCTTTGCTGGGATGGGTCCAGGGCATGGGGACAGGCCTACAAGTTAGAACAGGCAGATAAAAGAAGGGAGGGAAGTTAGAGGTTGGCTAAAGTGTTATTGTGACAGGTTCTTTTCTCTTAAGTTTGTGTCATAACTATTTCTCTTAAAGCTTTGGAGCTTAAATGATATTCAAGGTCTATGTAACATAAATGCTTAATTGAAAGCTCTAACTAGACCTCACATTATCCATTCCATGGAACAGAAAGGACTGGCCCTGAGCAACAAGAGACTTCCACTAACCCTCTTTCCAGCTTCTAACTGCCAATATTTCACCAGAAATATGTTTGTCTCAGAATTTACAGGAGACAGAGGCACAGATGGGTTAGTTTTGGTAGAAGACAGATGGGTCAAGTGAACCGATCCATTTAATCCTCTTCCCAAAGTTCCCTCTACTGTAACAACACACTGGCCCATGGACCCCAACTCTCGTTTACCTTGACGTATGCTTCAATCCCAAGTCCAATAACATCCCGCATACTGGCAAGCATGACCTGTTCCACCTGCTGGAGCCATTTTTCCACCATCCCCTGTAGGGCAAGACAGAAGGAGAAGGCAGCAACAGTCACCCATATCCCACATGAGGACCATGGGCAGAACCCAACTTTCTCTCAGGACAGGGATGGAGAAAGGCCAAAGACCTGCCACTTCTTTAAGCCAATATTCTTTCATTATTATCCTCATGCTTATTTATGGTATTTTAGGTAGGAGGACTATAAACCTCCCAAAGGGGCCATTGAGGACTTTTAACACCTATTTCTTTAATATCATTTTCTGCAATAGACAACTTCTCGAGGGGTAAATGAACAATCTTATTTCAGGTATCAGATAAATGACTCCATTTTAATTAACAGTTGTAACTCATACACAATTCCTGTGGATTCCAAACTGTGCCCAGTGCTAGAATCATCTGGAGATCTTTTAAATACATGACTCCTATCCCCCAGACTTTCTAATTTAGTTGGTGTGACATGCAACCTAGACATTTAGATTTTGATGAAAGTCCACAGGTAATTCACAATGCAGAAAAATACTCAGGCTGAGGTAACTGTAGCAATTGACTTCAGGCACCAGTAAGCTAGCTAGTATCTGGTTACCAATGTGACTCCTGGCAGTTTACATAGGAGGTGGCAAAAACAGTGAACAAAACAAGGCCAAGAGTGCTCGCCTGCTTCCACTTGATGATGCCATCATTTTCAGTAGGACTGGAATTAATTTGCATTTTACTCATTGTGTAAGGACATATGTATGAAAAACTGGGTTAAGTGGTATTATATCTTTCATTGACTCCAAAATGTTTTGTTGACCTTTCAAACTGAGTACCTATGTTTATTGCAGCATTATTTACAATTGCTGGAACATAGAATCAACTCAAATGTACAAAAATTAATGAATGCATTTAAAAAATGTGGCACATGTACTCTAAGGAGTACTACTCAGCCATAAAAAAAATGAGATCCTGACTTTTTATTTTTTTTAATAACTTTGCCTTTGATTTGGTTACAGGTTTAATTTATAGGAACGAATTTTCTAATTTTTTAAAAGAATTACTTATTTTACCTATTATTATTATTCAATTAGACCAGAGAGAGACAGAGAGAGATGGGGAGAGTGAGAAAGCAAGCCACCGGGTCCAGGACTCAAATCACAGCTGGTCATGTGAAAGATGAGCACCTTAACTACCCCACCACCTGCTAGCTCCCAAAACCTTGACATTCGATACAAAGTGGATGAATATGGAAGATTTAATGCTAAGCAAAGCAAGCCAGACTATGAAAGACAGATTTGGTTATGTCCCCACTCAATACATACTGAATGTCTGCTCTCTATAGCAGAAACCGAAGACTGGAAGGTATAACAACAGGGAGGACAATTGTAGATACTAGAGACAGTAAGAGGGAGTGATAAAGGGGAAAAAAGGGAGAGGAATGGGGGGAAAAACAAAAAATACATTTAACTGACACAAAAATGAAACGTTAATTGCTGATGATAATATATCATTATATGGTAATGTCTTTGTCTTGATTGATACGCACTGTATTTGTACTGGAACAAACCATGTTGTAAAAAGATGTATAGCGATTAAACTTAAATTTTATATAATACACACACACATACACACACATACACACCTACATAGTACCCCAGGAAACTATCTATCTGGATCATTCGTCACTGAGCTCTTCACAGGGAGACCTAAAAACATTCGTCCACATTACTAAACACAGCAGAAGAGAGACTTCGGCAAACATCAATCCACAGCAGAAGGGAAGCAAACTGTTCCTAGTGGTAGAAACATTCTCCAAAAAGGCATCCAAAAGTGAATACATCACCAATGACTAGAAGTAGAAGAAGAGCCCCAGGTTTAAAGAAACCAGAAAATAGTCTTCATCAAAAGGACATAATAACTTCCCCCCATTTCTTGAAAAAAATAAAATAAAATAAAAACAGACCAAATTATCAGAGAAAGAACTGAAAACATCACAGTGACAAAACTCTGAGTTGGAACAGAAAAGAGACAATGAACTCCAGGAGATGAGGAAGTCCTTCCACAATTTGAAAGAAGAAATGGACACTATAATAAAGAATTAGGTAGAACTATTAGGGATGAAGTCTGTAATACAGGAAATCAAAAACTCTCTTTAAAGTATTAAAAGCCAATTAGAGGGACCAGCAGTTAGCGTAATGGCTATGTCGCTGGACTCCCACGTAGTCGACCACGGTTCAAGTCCTGGACCCGGTGGCTTAAACTCACGCCAGGCACGTGTGCGTGCGTGCCAGAAGGGATTGCAGCATGGCCATTCCCCCTGGGGGGTGATTTCTCTCTTTCTGTCTCTATGTCTGTCTCTGTCTGTCTGCCGAGTGCATGTACCCTATAGCGAAAACCTCTCCAAAAAAAAAAAAAAAAAGCCAATTAGACCATGCTGAAGATCAAATCTCCAACACAGAAGATAAAACCTCTGACCTAGAAAAAAACACCAAAAAGATAGAGAAAATAACAATAAAAATGAGGATAATATATGAGAAATAATGGATTCCACTAAACGTTCAAACATCTAAATAATTGGTATTCCAGAAGGTGAAAAACTAATGAGGGCACGGAAAATCTATTCCATAAAATCCTGAAAGAAAACTTTCCAAATCTAGAAAGGCATTCAAATATCCAGACCCAAGAAATACAAAGGACCCCAAATAGAATAAACCAAAGAAGATCCTCTCCAAGGCACGTCTAGAATAAACCAAAGAAGATCCTCTCCAAGGCATGTCTAAGCCAGACTGGCCAAAACCACAGATACTAAAATCGGCAAGAGAGAAACGTCAAGAAACTTACAAAGGTCATTCCATCAGGCTAACACCAGATCTTTCAATAGAAACAATACAGGCAAGAAAAGAATGGGAAAACATATTGAAAGTGTTAAGAGAAACTATTTCAACCAAGATTATTATATCTAGCAAGATTATCCTTCATATGGGAAAAAAAGATTAAAATCTTCTTAGAAAAACAAAACCTGAAATAACTTACCAACACCAGATCAGCTCTTCAAGAAACTCTGAAGGGAACCAGCAGTTAGCGTAATGGCTATGTCGCTAGACTCCCATGTAGTCAACCGCGGTTTGCGTCCCGGACCCGGTCGCTTAAAACTCACGCCGGGCGCGTGTGTGTGCGTGCCCAAGATCCCAAGAGGAGAATGGAGGAGA